AGTTGGACGAAAAACAAGAATTGTTATACCGGATGAATGGTGGGATGATTGGAAACACGACAAGCAGTGAGTGAAATAACAAGAGGCGGCCTGCAGATCGTTGGACGGAAACCGGCACAAGAGCGGATAGAGTGAAGCAGAACAGAGTGAAACTCTCATGGAATATATATGCACTTCACGTTGTGAAACAGATGAGTTCTTAAAGGTCTTGTTCGATGGTCTCAAGGGCACTAATCAGCAGTGGATTTATTTGGGTTATTTACGTTATTTAGGCGTTGGTCAGTTTGATGTGGGACTGACTGGACACCCAACCTTAAAACACCTTGTAGATGAGGCACGGGGTGCGTTCCTCTACCTGGTCCAGAATGCGGACGCATGTAGTCTGAACGGTGGATACAACAACCATTGCCGGAGCCAAATTGTCCATTGCGGGTGTAGACCCCAAACCAATCGGATCTGGAATGGGAAGGCGAACATCGGCAGTCTGGGGTGCAGCCCAGCTGAGAAGGGATTAGGGAAAGAAATAGCAAGAAGCAAACGACAAATTTTTATCAAGGAGAGTGCTTAGATCATAATACTGGTAAAAGGATGTTGTCAAAAGATGTCTAGTTCTACAGATCCAAAATGGAGGTCAATACACCTAATGGTAGAACATCAGTTGATAAAGTGGACACGGCTACCTGGTTAGCATGTGCCACGGAAGGGAGCCAATTGAGTCAGAGGAAAACCGGAGCCGATGGATAAGAGGTAAGGAATATTGGGTCACAAAACTTATAAAAGTATGTACCAAATTAGGTTGTGTTCCACAGATCCAGCGTCCAAGCTGGATCCGTGTACTGATATGAAATTGGCTGAGAAAGTGGACACTGCTACCCGCTTAGAACGTGCTAACAAACTGATGGAGTAGGTATGGGTTCTCCACTTGGACCCTTATTGGCAGATTTTTTCGTTGCAAAACTGGAAAATCAGGAGCTCCGTGATATGATTGCCTCCCTACCACTGTACTCCTGATATGCAGACGACATGTTTGTCCTGATGAATAATAAATCTCACTGGAAAGGCTAACAGAAATTTTCAACAAAGCTCGCAATGCTATCAATTTTACGTCAGAACTAGAAACGAAAGGTGCATTTCACTCCCTCGATGTAAACCTAACAAGACTTCACGACGGCATTTTGAGGCGATCGGTTTATCGAAAACCAACATGGACTAGTCAGTTTATTAACTTTTTAAGTTTCGTGCCAAATAAGCGTAAATGGAACTTAGTTCAGTGCCTCGCAGAACGCGCACAAAGAATTTGCTCGAACGACAGGATTGACCAAGAATTAGAAAATCTCAAGAAAATCTTACTAAGTAATGGCTATCCGGAACGTTTCATTAAAAAGAACCTATTGAAGAAACCTCAAAGAGAGCAAATAATGACGGTAGGAAAAAAGGACTATATACAGGACTCCCATTCAAGGGAGATTATAATAGTGAACTGGTTACACGGCGGTTAGAAAGAGCAATCTCCCGAACTAATCCCGCCGCCACACTACGCATCCTTTTCGTGAGCCGACGATGACGCATTTTGAATCATCTACAAGTTGCCACCAAACCCCTCAAAAGCCGTCCTTCAATGTCATCTCACAACAGCCGAAGCAGTGGACATTCGAATAATAAACCCATCGCTTTGTTCTCAAAAGCGATTCGTACAATCATTCAGACTGCCTTGGTCACAACTTGACACATACCCCCGAGATAGACTTGACCGTTCTCATAATCCCGCGACCCTAACACGTGATGACACGTCCACATCCTACCTGTTTTCCCAATCTTGTTACGATCAATTCCTCCCATCCCGCCCCCTTTCCCAACCACACGCCAAAAACAATCAAAAACCACGAACCACACAGCCATTGATGAACATTTTCATTTGAATATATAACTGTATTAGCCTGAAGAAGTTGTCGCGAACGAGCTTGTTTGCTAAAACCATCGCGTTTTTTCAAAAGCTTTTATAAAAACTCAGCCAACTTGGATAAACCGGGTTGAGCAAAATCAACCCATACGTCAGAGTTTTCTGAAAGTTCCACCTCTTAGACAGATGTACATCGAGAACTCCAGATGCTCAACAAGCACAAATCAGTAGGTCCGGAGGGAATCCATCCAGCCATAGTGCAGCCGCTGGCTGGGATGCTAGCCGGGGCGCTGACTACATTTTAGGGAATCAGCTCAAACTGCTAGGCTACCCCAGGACTGGCGTACAGCTCCCGTAGTAGCATTGCGCAAAGCTGGATCGAAACACAAAGTAGAAAACTATAGACCCATTCACCTAAGTTCATTGTTGTGTAAGTGTCTGAAGCGACTGATCAGAAGGCAGATTTACCACGTCTGACTAGCAATCGACTCCTGACACCGGTACAACATGGCTTTGTGCAACGGAAATCATGTCTTGCGAATCTGCTTGTATTCCTGTATGTAGTCACTCAACGTATGGATGAGAAGAAAAATGTAGAAGTCTGCTACTTAGACTTCTTTAAAGCATTTGATTCTGTCAGCCATCGATTGTTGGACTTCACAGTTCGGAGCCTAGGTGTAACAGGTAGAGCCAGGGACTGGATTGTAGCCTTTTTGAGTAATCGCACCTTCCGGATCAAGGTGGGTGACTACATTTTTAACCATGAGATGATTACAATCGGGGTTCCTCAGGGTTCAGTGCTAGGTCCCTTACTTTTTCTGATATTCATAAACAATATGGAACAGGATCTTCAAAATCCGTTTTTCATGTTTGCTAATGCTGTCAAAGGACAGGGTTAAATCTGCAAAGGGATCTAGACGTAGTCCATCGATGGTCGGTCGGGTTGGACCTACCTTTGAATTTAAGCANTTAAGCAATTGTTGGCCGTAGCAACGAGAGCAAGGGTATACTCGTTGAATGGAGATCCCATGCAGCAGGCCCCGCAGATGAAGGATCTAGGGGTTCTTATGACCCAATATTTCAAACCCTCAAGTAAGTGCTCCAAAGCTGCTAATAAGGCCAGGGGGCAGCTATTCAGGTTGTGCCACAATGACATGCAGACGGCCTGAGTTTTCGTCCCACTGTATAAATCGATTGTTCGCCCACACATGGAATATTGTGTGCAGGCATGGGCACCGTATTACAGGAGGGGTGTAACACGTGTAGAAAGAGTGCAACGCTTAGCTACCCGAATGGTGACTGGGCAAAAGTGGAAAAGCTATGAGCAGCAATTAAGATATCTTAATCCCTTTTCGCTGGAGCGTAGACGCGTGAGGGGAGATCTGATAGATACTTCTAAATTTGTCTATCGAGACTCAACCTAGGTGATTTGTTTACGATTTCTCGTTCTCAAAACACGAAAGGTTATGGCTGTAAACTTCAGCAGAACCACGCTAGTTTGGAAGTACGGACCAACTGCTACGCACACAGGATCATACCTATGTGGAACAGGTTACCCGCAGAAGTGGTCAACTGCACTAATGTTAACGCCTTCAAAGTAGCCCTGGACGAATATTGGTCAGAAACATTCCCCGAAGTTAGTATTTAGAGTGAGAACGTCAAGAATAAATTCCCCATTAGCCGCAAGTCTTTGAAATTAAGTAAACTTGGGCTTAATTGATGAAATTGTTCTCGAACTCACTGTCCTGTTGCATGTGATCTGTGTATACGAACGTATGAGTACTTGCGGTCTCTAACCAATGAGGCGAGGAGATATTCTTGTTTGTTTTCCTCCCGTCCAGCATACCCTCAAGGAGATAACGTTCTGGAAACGGGGCTAAATTGAGAGGATCACAAATGCCAAATGAACCGTACGCAGTGTTGGAAGCTACTCCCATCAGCGGACAACACAATTAACTGGACGCTCAACTGGCAAGAGCCATATTTTCCCTGTACGAAGGGAACTGAACTGAACTCCTCCAATTAGTGAACTACAGGTAGGCAGAGCTCAAGTTCTGAAGATGCTCACTGAATTAAAATCTGGCAAATCAGCGGGTAGTTGTGGACTTCATCCGGCGGTCGCCGCTCGCAGAGATTTTGGCGGCTCCTGTGTGCATAATACGCAAGAACTCTCATAGACTCGGTGAAATACCGAATGACTGGAGGACGGCAACAGTTGTGGCAATACTCAAGGGAGGTGACAAAAAGGCGCCAGAGAACTATAGACCAGTTAGTTTCACTAGTATCCTCTGTAAAGGGCTTAAGACAATCGTAAGAAACGGTATAGGTGAGCATGTTGCGCGCTACAACCTACTATCTCCGACCCAACACGGGTTCCTCAAAAAGAGGTCATGTCTCAGCAACCTTTTGTGCTTCCTAGATGAAGTCACAAGAACGTTGGATGAGAGCCAAAAAGTCAAATTTTGTTACTCAGACTTTAGAAAGGCTTTTGACTCGGTTAATCACCGATTGCTTCTTAAAAAGCTTGGGAACTTTGGCCTTCCTGGGACTCTTAGTAAGTGTGCAGGGCGTTTCTAAACAGACGGACCTTCACGGTTCAGGTAGGAGAGGCACTATCGACGGAGAGGAAATTCGCCAGTGGAGTGCCACCGCGCTCCATCCTAGGCCCGATACTTTTCCTGCTGTACGTTGATGACTTAGTTAGGAGTTGTCCATCCCGACTTTCGTATTTCCTGACGATATAAAGTTAGTAAACTCAGGCCCGCGAGACCAACTACAGGAAGATCTAGTAAAGATTCTCTGTTGGACTCAGATATGGGACCTTGACGTACGCCCGTCAAAGTGTCACATATTGAACACTAACCGAGGTCCAATTAGAGTAAGTACGGAGGCGGAAACCACCGAACTAGTGCGCGTAGCCCAAACGAAGGACTTAGGGTTAGTAGGTTCCGAAAATTACAAGCCAAGCGAATAGTAGAAGCTGCAGCACAAAGGGCGAGCAGTCAATTATTCCAGTTCTGAAGTACACTAACCACTCGAAAGGCGGAAGTCTTTATTCCACTGTATAGGGCACTGGTGAGACCCCACCTAGAATACTGTGTCCAGTCTTTGGCACCCTACCTTCAGAAAGACATCCAGTGCATCGAAAAGGTTCAAAGGTTAGCCACCCGGATGGTCAGGGGCATGAGGGGCAAGTCATATGAAGAAAGGCTTGTAGCGTTATGCCTTTTTTCTATGAAAAAGGATGCCTTAGGGTGACCCCATAAAAAGATTTAAGATAATGAAAGAATTCACTGCCGTAAGCGCCGAACGTTTATTCACTCGAACACCCGTAGAGATCATCAGGAGGCACAGTCTAAAGCTCTTAAAACAATGGGCTCTCTTCGGTGTGAGGGTTTACCTCTACGCGAACCGAGTGGTTAATAGATGGAATTAGCTACCACCACACCTGATGGAATGTGCGACTACAGTCGACTTCAAAAGGTTTGTACCCAACTATACCCAAAGGTAGTATAGCAGTGGGGTCTAAGGTTGTTTAGAGATGACAGGCTTCATGTTTCCCAACTAATTTCCCTTACAGATATCATACTGTAACCAGCTTCCTGCCGGAAAACAGTTACAAGACAGTGACTGAAACGAGTTTGAAGCTTTGGGAGAAGAAACTGTAGCGGTTCTTCAACCGACAGATTCGTAACGTTTTCTCTTCTTGCCTCTTGCTCTCCTCTAAATTCCCTGATAAATCCACTCCGGCTGGACGTAGTCATCAATTCACGAACATCACGAACATCAGCAACCACCTAATCACTAAAAAGCCTTCCTATCGAAGCAAGAATCTGGACACTTGGTTGGTAAAAGTCTTTTTCGTCCTGAGATACCTGATCTGAACAGACTTGAACTGAGCCTAGTCAGATAGGATATACCCCATCATGAAGATAAAATAGCGTAGTGCACCCGAAATTTTCAGGTGTGCTCATTTTCGCTGGTTCTACCTTCGAGGAGGGTTTGCATATCAGGAGTCTACAGAAGCCCGGAAAGCATACCCGAGGAGGACCAGGCACTCCTACGCGCCCTAGATAGCTTATACAGACATTCATAAGGAGTTTGTAAATTGAATGTTTAATTTCCCAATAAGAGGTTTGGAGGTTGACCGGGCTCCAACAGGAACACCGGAGAGCGCATTCTTAGAATGGATGCGCTTGACAGCCCTACAGCAACATGTCCGAGAGTGCACTAGGTACATAGATGGAGATAGGACATCTCTACTGCACCTAATAAATACGACGAGAGAGAGGGATTTGACAAACAATGCCCTACATCCACCGCTGGGTTAAAGCGACCACGTCGTTCTCACAGCAGAAATAAGTCTAATGCACCGAAGAAGTAATGTTAGAATAGAACAAGGAGTGGCGAACTATTTTATAAATCTACCTGTTCCTTTTTGACAAACTTGTTTGGTTACCTCATCTTCTGACTTGCATAGACACGAGCGCATCTACGTTTCCAGACTTTTAACTGATAGGAACATTCTGATCCGATCCTTAAATAACATAAATAGTTGTCTAAACAGTCCCACAGAGCACATTTTCAAATAAAACAAGGAGTGGCAAACATGCTCGTTTTCAGTGATTCGTAGTCATGCCAAAAACATCACAATAAATATTAAGCTGTTTATATATAAATAAGTATTCAATCATAAAAACATAAACAAATGTTTTGAGAAAGGGAAAATAACCTCATGGGTTATTTGGGGCTAATTTAATCTTGGGACCGGATATGGAATTCTCGATGATCGCATAATTGTTAGGTCATCCGACCGTTGGGACCACTCGGAATCTGGGGTGTATATGGGGTGGGCCAGGGGAGCTTAAGCGCCTGCACAAATTGTTTTTGGGCACACAAAGGGGGGTGGTGCAGCCGAATTCCTATCGCTTCCGCTGTGGCTAGCATGCGACAGTGAACCTGCATTGATAATCGACCACGAACCCGATACAGGGGACGGAATGCCTCGGTAACATTCACAGAGTGTGGTTTAACACCTAGCTGAAACAAATCACACGTTAGATTCGACAAGGCTGAAGGCATCAGCTACGGAGCTGCGGAGCTGGTGTGAGCCCCTATCCACGAAAATGACTCTGTAGACCAGCAGTGGAGCCTGATCAAGGCAGATATCTTGCTCCTGCAGGATAACTACGCTCTCCTGAAACCCAGGGTAGCAAAGACTAAACCACCTCGGTGGAGCCCAGCGATAAGGAGAGCGATACAGCGTAGAAATAGGAGCTGGTGCACCTATAGGTCAACGAGCAGATCCTCGGCGCAGTACACCAGGTATAGAAACGAAGCAGTGGTAGTTCAGCAGGAGCTCAAACGGTAATACGAACTGAAGCTGACAAATTGTGCCAAATACCAGCGAAAGGAGTACTACCGCTATGTCCAATCTAAGGGAGGGTTCAGTGAAAAGGTAGGGCCTCTGATATTGGAGGATGAAGAATTAGTAACCCATGAGATGGATACAGCAGTGCAATTTAAGGAATACTTCAAAAGTGTACATAGGTTGGATCAACTCGTCCCTGCATAACCTGTCCTCTACACCGCTCGACCGGGTACTCCCGAATTACACGTGGGGCCGGAACAAGTGCGTAGGACTCTTGGTGAGCTTAACGCCACCAAATCCGCCGGACCAGATGGCATCCATCCAGCCTTAGTTAGACACATAGCTGAGGTTCTAGGGACCCACTCTGCCACCTGTAGAACAGAATTCCAGAGCAGGACTGGATAGTACAGGACTGGAAAACGGCAACTGTGGTCTCCATACACAAGGGAAAACCGAGATAAAAAGTGGAAAACTATCGTCCAATTAGTCTCACAAGCATCTTATGCAAAGCGCTACAGCGAATTATCAAAACCCAATTATGAGCATACCTCACTCAGCACCGCTTGCTGATTGCGGCTCAGCTTGGGTTCCTGAAGGGAAAATCTTGTCTGAGCAATCTCTTGCACCTTTTAGATGAAGTCGCAGTGAGATTGGATGAGGGTAAGGAAGTGGAAGCATGCTATCTGGACTTTAGCAAAGCATTTGACTCAATATGTCATCGCCTACTTTTGGCCAAGATAGATGCTCCAGGGATAACGGGTAACATCCACAATTGGCTAACAGCTTTCCTGACCGATTGGACCATCCAGGTTCGGGCAGAAGAAGCAAATTCGCCAGTAAAACGTATCGCTGGTGGTGTTCCTAAAGGATCAGTTCTAGGTCTACTCGCTTTCTTGCTCTACATCAATGATCTTCCTGAACGCCTTGGCCCGTCTATCTATATTTGCAAGGGGATCTGAACAAGATCCAGGAGTAGACAGGTCGATGGGAACTCCCGCTGAACCTAAGTAGGTGAGGCCCTAAGTTGATATCAGTCAGTACAAATAGCGTTGGGCGAAGTGCAACCACGGAAAGCCATGTACCTCTTATGAGGAGCGAGGACATTAGGGACTTGGGTATCGTCATATATCAAACGTTCTAACCGACGCCTCAGTGTCTGGCAGCTGCGGCCAAAGGTAATCGGGCACTCCATCAACTCCTGAGGGCTGTAACTTCACGAGAGGAAAAGCTGATGGTACCGCTGTACAATGCCCTTGTGAAGCCACATCTAGAGAACTGCACTTCGATCTGAGTGGCTTACTTGGTGAAAGACGTCAAGGTCCTGGAGGCGGTACAAAGAAGGTTCACGAGGGTCATAGAAGGCATGAGTGGCGTTTTATACAGTGAGAGGCTCGGGAGGTTAAACCTGTTCTCTCTCAAGGGAAGGAAAATGCGAGGGGACTCCATAAAGGCCTCGAAGCAGCTGACCGGGGCCTCGGTAACGGAAACACCGCTGTTGCACCTTTGCCACAACAACAACTGNGGGCAACGGGTGCAAATTGGAAAAGCCCAGGGTAACAACAAGCA